GGCTTAGACATGGTGGCAACAATGCAATTCACAGTAACGCCAACAACATTGCAAATATTGCCAAGACAACAAACAACAGCGACGAGAACACTCCAACAACCAACCATCCGAAAAAAGAAGGTAAACAAAGACCCAAAAAATTGCCACCAGCAACAAATGATGTTTGCAACTGTCTGTCGATCGGTTGGCATTGTTGCAACATTAAGTACCATGGCTCGATGGCTGTTTACTTTTCAAGTCAGTTGCATTAACTACTGACACACCTTTTACCAAAAAATAAAAACTGAAAAAAGAAACGGTTTTTTTTTTTGGTGCTTCGCCCATAACACAAAGCCCAGTCAAATAGCGAAACACCACCATCATCAAACCTAACAAACCAATCCATTTTTATGGATTCATTCAAATATAATTTTCGCTCTTTTCCGAGGGGAGATTTGGGGGATGGGGGCGAGAGGATTTGAAATAGTCAGCCATTCAGCCAGCATTCACTTCTTTCTTTCGTTCCGTTGTGGCCTTTGATTGTTTTGGCCAACTAGGCGTTTGCCGTTTGTTTGTCTAACTGTTTGGTTGGTGTCTTTCATTTCAGAAAAAACATCCGTCGTCCACCGTTTGCCATTTGTCTTGGCTGGGGTTTTATGGTCATGTGGTAGCCAGAGCCAGATCAAGCCTTGCCTTCCCTAACTTCGTTTTGTATTGCCTCTCACTTCTCTCCCCGCCCCTCGCCTTTCTGTCATTTTTCTTGGTTGATTATTTCACCAATTGGCAAAACAAGTTAAAGAAGTCAAGTAATCAAACATTTCAATAAACAATTACTGTGCCAGTCAGTGCACCAACATCATCTGCAGAAGCCCAAGCAATGGTCCTGGCACAACACCAGGTTTAACACAATTGCCAAAAACTACAACAACAACAGCAAAAATGATATGGCCAACCCAAGTTAAAAAAGAAAAGTCGATTTGAAAAAAAAAAAAACAACATAACGAACCGTCAAATGTTCGTCATATTGCTTATCCATGATTAACAAGCGGAGAACAGAAACCCATAGCTTGGAGTTGTTTTCTTTTTTATTGTAATAATCAAGTGTTTAGAAATTGTCCTAAAGGCCTGAACATTTTTCTCTGGAAAAAAATGTTAATTTGAGAATTATTATTTAAAAAAAAAATAAATACAGACTACACGGTGCCACAAAAATTTATTAACATTTTTTCAATAATTAAGGGGAAAATCAAGCAAATTATGAATGTAGAGTCAATAAAAAGAAAACTCGTGTTTCGGCGTTTTGAATGTTTGGGGCTAAGCCACCCCGGCCCTTCCACCATTTTGGAAATTTTCGAATTAAGATTCCTCGGAATCCATGCATAGTGTCTTCGGCAATATTGCAAAATACGAAGAATTTTATAAAAACAAAAATAAAGGGATTAAGACTGACCTTTTTGCAACAACGAAATACCATTGGGTCCCAAACGAAGGGATATTTTGGTAGAGAACATTAACCCCCAAATGAGCCAATAAAGGGGTTTTATTGGTCCTTTTCAACATATGGTTAACATTTTCAGCATGTCCAAATGTTCCACAAAATAATTTGTGATACAATTCTGCTATAGCTCCCAAAGGAGGTCAAGGACCTAACTCTTACCAAAACGCCAGGAATTTATATACATTCAAATCACATTTTTGGGTTGAAGTCGTACTTTTTGGGGGTACCTGTTAAAATCTCCATCAAAGCTCCATTTTAGAAAGAGGACATCAAAGACCAAAAACAAAAAATATTCCTCATCAAATTTTATCATAGATCTCCGAAGAAAATAATTCTGTATTTCCACTCTATATCAAAATATTTTAAAATTATTACCAAAAAAAAAAATATTCCTTTTTTTGATAATTTTTCCCCCAAACTTTTTTCGATCGGATGCCTGGAAGTAACGAAAAAATAAATATTCTACACAAAATTTCACTACAAATTTCAGAATAACCTATACAGGGTGAGACCAAATAAAAACTGCAATTTTAACATTTTATTGGATGAAAGCAAAAAATTTCGGAAATAGCATTAAATTTTAGAATAAGATTTGTTCGAATTGGTGCCAAAGGTACGAATTATGGCCCGAATGTTGCTCTGCGGTATTTTGACCCATTCCCGGCAAAGCGCTTGCTTGAGGTGATCGACACTTTGGTATTTATTAGTGCCAACCTTGCTTTCCAAAATACTTCAGACACAATAGTCCAACGGATTGGTATCCGGAGATTTTGGTGGCCATTGTGCGCTGAAAATGGAGCGAGGAACCTCATTTTGTAACCATTCTTTGGTGACGCGTGCTGAGTGCGATGTTGCTGTGTCCTGTTGGAATGTCCAAGGTCTGCGGCCAAAATGTTTGCGTATCCAAGGCTTAAATACACCCTCCAGAATATTTTCGCGATAATATTCGGCATTTATTCCGAGGCCACGGTCGATTAATACGAGCGGAGAGCGACCATCGGCTGTTGTGGAGGCCCAGACCATTACCATGGCCGGCGCTTGAGCTCTGGTGGCCAACCGAAAGTGCACATTTTCAGCTGACCTCTTTGGCAAGTAAACACGATCATTTTGTTTGTTTACAAACTGCTGTACAACGAAGGGTTTCTCATCGGCGAAAACCAAATTGAGTAGTTCACCACTTTCGGCCAAGCGAACCAATTCTTTAGCTCTTTTGCTGCTATTTTTTTCTGTTGCGGTGTGAGTTCTTGCACTTTTTGGAATTTCAATGGCTTTACCGCGATCTCATTTTTCAATATTTGCCGAATCTAATATTGCGATATGTTCAGCTCACGAGCCATTTTTCGGCCACTGCGACGCGAGTTTCGATCAAGTTGCTTCTTTACTTTTCGAACCATTTCTGCTGATGTTGCTGTTTTCTTCCGTCCACTTCCTTGATGTTGGGCTACGCTCCGCTAGTGTCAATGGTACGAGACACAAAAGATTTATTCACATTTAAATGCTGGACTGCTAACGATAGCCACTTGTGGTTTTCCAGCCAAGTCTAAAGAAATCACACCACCACGCTTAAATTCCATCACGAATAACTTTTTTTCTGGAAAATTCTCACCAAAATGCTTTTGTACGTTTGTAAACAATGTAATGAGCTGTCACTGGAATAATTTTAACAGCTGCAGGACGAGTGGCTTAGAAATGACAGCAGTCTGAAGTTGGTTGCAGTTTTTTCCTCTCATCCGGTATGGTTTATTCTGAGATTAATAATGAAATTTTGTGTAGAATATTTCTTCTTTGGAAGCGTTCTACCTAAAATGAAATTTTATGAAACTTTCAGACTACAATTCGAAAAAAGCCCGAGGAAAATTGATCAAAAAAGCAGGGAAGATTATTATTATTATTTTATTTATTAATTTTTTTTTGAATTTGTGATGATAATATTTTTTTTATATAGAGTAAAATAGAGATTTCCTTCCTTTGGCAACTTATGTTAAAATTTGATGAGGAGTATTTTTGTCTTTGGATTCACTTCTCCAAAATGATGCTTTGCTGGAGATTTGTGCACAAATTCACACAAAGTAGGGTTTTAACCCTAAAATGTGCTTTTAATATATATGATTTCCTGGCGTATGGGTAAAATTAAGACTCTTGGCGTCTTCTAGGACCCGTAGTAGAATTTTATGGCAAATAATTTTGTAGGCTATGTTGGCATGTTTGTTAACAATATTTAAAAAACGGACCAAAGAGACCCTTTTGCTGACTCGATTGAAGGTTAAAATGTTCTACGATAATATTATTCATATTTTTATCTGCACTATTGCAGAAGACACCGTATACATAAAATGCAGAGATTTCGAGAAATCTTAATCCGAAAATTTCCAAAATTGTGGAAGAGAGATGAGCTTGCCCCTCCTCTATTTTGGCTATTTTCCTAGGTAAACTTTTAAAAGGCCGATACACGTGTCTTATTTTTTAACTTTACTTTCATAATCTGCAGGATATTCCCCGCAATTATTATAAATTCTTGTTTGCACAATGTAATTAACCAAGCGGTAATTTTTTTTCTTAAATTGGCAAAAAAAGGAAATTTCCCCATAAAAAAGAAAGATCTTCTAAATTTGGGTTAATTTGTAAGGCTTGGGTGAGCATAAGTAATAAAGCATCATTCTCAAATGAAAGTAAGATTTCGGCGAGTTTAGAAAGGTAAGGCTAGCTGGCTGGCTGGTGGCATGACAACATGAGCTCATAAAAACATAGAAAACTATTACCGAGCGGGTATTGAAAGTGATAAGCCAAGATTCAAATATTGGCCACTCCTTTTTCTTTGTCTTTAAATGAAATACTTTTTGAAAGAAGAAAACAGAGAAGCATATCGTTTCTCAAGTCTAATAAAAGAATCATAAAACGTCACACAGCCAGCCTGTCAAGTTCAAAGTCATAAATTCGGTTTTAATTGATTTTTGAGTACTTAACACAAAATGCCAATAAAAATAGGAATATTTCCTTTCTCTCTCCATGTCTTGTTGCCCAAAGAAAATTGAACGAAAAACTTATCAAATGTTTACTTAGACGATTTTTTCTATTTTTTGAAAGGGGCTAGGTGGTTCGAATAATTTTTGTGGCATTTTTGGCCATTGGGTTTTCGACACCAGGCGGTTTATGAAAGAAAGGTTTTCCTTAAAAGTCATATTAAAAACCATAATGTGTGTGTGTTTTTTTGGAGGCGTACTCAGTTGAGATTTTAATGAATTTGAAACAAATAAGAAAAAAATAATTTTGTTGTCCATAATTTCAGGTTGAGATGCCTCACTCAAGTCTAAAAAAGTAACAAAAAACACAAAAGGTGAAACAAAATTATAGGTTTTAAAAATTGATTTTTTTCTTTACTGTTGGTGTTGCTTTGTGGTTCATTAAAAAAAGTGCAGCTGAATTTTTCTTTAATGGCAAAATTATAGTTTTTTCGTCTACAAAATTATTATCTGGTAGCAGGAAAATTATGGTTGGCTCTGATGAAATTATTAGCCAGACTTACCATATAATGCCGTTTTATTAACACAACTGGAAATGATAATCTATAAATAAAAAAAGAGGAAAGAAAAGTAATTAATATAAAGCTTATAAAGATTTGTTTAATTACAAAGCGAAATAACAAAATAAAAAGGAAATATAAATTTATATTTATTGATATTTATAAACAGGGTTATTGATTTAAGATCCGCTTTAAATTTAAATACCGTCATACCACGCTCTCTCCAGGTGGGCTGAGACGTAATGGAAAATATCAAAAAAAAAATAGTTTTGCTATGAATTACCCTACACTGATCTGTGTGAAGACGAGACAAAGAAGCAAGGGAGACAAAATAAAAACAATAAGAGGTAGTATAATATTGTGATATGTTATTTTTTTAAATATTTTCCAGCGAATGGCGTGGGTTTTTTCTAGGACCAGTAAATGCTGAATCTGAGAAAAACTACTGCATACTTTGTGGGTTTTTTACAGATTTTTTTTTGCCAAAAAAAAAAAGAAATTATTGCCGGGAGCTTTCAGCTAAAAACATGTGTATATTTTTAGAAATTTTTGACAAAGACTTAAAACCAAAAAAATTAGATTTTTTGAGAAAACTTTCATAAGAACTTCCAGGCAAATACATTTAGACCAAAGTGGGCTTTTTATACCCTACACCACAAGGTGGTCAGGGTATTATGTCTTGTGTTGATTTATGCATGTCAGTCCGTCTGTCCATCCGTCCGTCTGTCCATGTATTTTTGTGAACAAAATGCAGGTCGCATTTATTATCCGATTGAGATGAAATTTTGCAAACAACATTTGTTTGGCCCAAGGACGAACCCTATTGAAATTGGAGATAATCGGTAAAAATTTAGATATAGCTCCCATATATATCTTCGTCCGATTTGCCTTTTATTGTGCACCAAACGTGTAATTTCAGCCCGAATAGTATGGAATTTTGCACATGCAACCAAATTAGGCCTAAAAATAAGCATGCCAAATTTGATGGAAATCGGTTCAGATATAGCTATAGCTCCTATATATATTGTTCATCCGATTTGTTATTTTTGTCCTCCGCAGCCGTAATATGCACTCTGTAACAACAATATTTGGGGAAATATATCAAATGCAGCTCAGAAAGACCTTTGCTAAATTTTATCGAGATCGGTTCAGATTTGGATATAGCTCCCATATATATCTTCGTCCGATTTGCCTATTATTGTGCACCAAACGTGTAATATCAGCCCGAATAGTATGGAATTTTGCACATGCAACCAAATTAGGCCTAAAAATAAGCATGCCAAATTTGATGGAAATCGGTTCAGATATAGCTATAGCTCCTATATATATTGTTCATCCGATTTGTTATTTTTGTCCTCCGCAGCCGTAATATGCACTCTGTAACAACAATATTTGGGGAAATATATCAAATGCAGCTCAGAAATACCTTTGCCAAATTTTATCGAGATCGGTTCAGATTTGGATATAGCTCCCATATATAACTTCATCCGATTTACTTTTTATTATGCACCAAACGTCTAATATTTGCCCAAATGGGATGGAATTTGGCACATACGACCGAATTGAGTCTAGAAGGTAGTATGCAAAATTTGGTGAAGATCGCTATAGCTCCTATATATATTGTTCATCCGATTTGTTATTTTTGTCCTCCGCAGCCGTAATATGCACTCTGTAACAACAATATTTGGGGAAATATATCAAATGCAGCTCAGAAATACCTTTGCTAAATTTTATCGAGATCGGTTCAGATTTGGATATAGCTCCCATACATAACTTCGTCCGATTTACTTTTTATTGTGCACCAAACGTCTAATATTCGCCCAAATGGGATGGAATTTGGCACATACGACCGAATTGAGTCTGGAAGGTAGTATGCAAAATTTGGTGAAGATCGGTTCAGATATAGCTATAGCTCCCATATATATTGTTCATCCGATTTGTTGTATTTGTTACCCACAGCCGTAATATGCACTCCGTAACAACGATATTCAGGGAAATATATCAAATACAGCTCAGAAATATCTTTGCCAAATTTTATCGAGATCGGTTCAGATTTGGATATAGCTCCCATATATATTTTTATCCGATTTCAAATTAGTTGTGCACCAAAGGGGCAATACAAGTCCGAATTTAAAAGATACAAATGCTTCGGCATATTTTGTCCTTTGAACTTTAAATTATAATTATAATCATAGCGTGTATGATTGAATTCTCCCATAAAAACTTTTACTTGTTATGTGGATCTCAACTAAATTAGCAAAGTGGTGTAGGGTACCATAAAATCGGCCCGCCCGACTTTAGGACTTTCTTTACTGGTTAAGATTTTTTTTTGTCAATGATAAACGAGGATTTTCTCAATATTTTTGAAAAGGTCAAATACAAGAGGATTTTCTCGAATTTGGAATGGACTCTCACACCAATCAACATGGTATTTTTCAGAATTTTTTAACCAGAACTTTTCGAGGATACCCAAAGATATAACTTGATTAGGGCTTTTCCTCAAGAATACTAAGGAGGATATTTAATATTTTATTTCGTAAGGATGCCAGCCAACGAGAGTTTTCCAAATTTTGGTCTCAAGGATGTTACCTCGAACTTTTTGGATTTTCTGGATTTTTAAGAACATTTTTCAAGGATACTAATGTAGAGTTTTTTTTTTTAATTTCTAATCAAAGTTTCTTAAAGATATAATAATTTTTTCTCAAGGATATTTTAGTTGATTTTTTTTTTGTTTCCTTTTTATGGATATTAAGAATATTACTTTGGATTTTTTAGATTTTTTTTAAGTCAATTTTTCTCAAAGATATTCTAGTGAATTTTTACAATTGCCTTTCAAGGATATTAAGAACATTACTGTGGATTTATTAACAATTCTTTCTCAAATAAATTAAGGTCCATTTTTTATATTAACAAGGATTTTGAAAAAAAAATCAAGTATATTAAGGTCATAACTGTTAATTTCAAAGAGAATATTTTAAAAATATAGAATACATTTTTTAAAATGTCTTAATTTCCTTACATTTAAAAAAAATAGTCTGTTTTCTTCCTTCTCTCAAATATTTCCTTATGTTCCAACACACCGCCATTCAAAAGGCCTTTTTCATAATTGCGACCACTGAATCGTATTATACAATCTCCTTTATTTGGTAATACCATTCATAATTGAAGGAAGAAAATGAAAACGAAACGAAAAAAAAAAAAAATATTATCAAACAGAAATATCCCATGTGTTGATACTTCTGGTCATTGGCATTCAAAAAACTGGGAAAATACAAAAAAAAAAAAAAAAAAAAAAACGAACAGTGGCCCTCTCACGGTCCTGGTGGTGGTGATGATGGTGGTCACCTTTTAAAACCGATAAATATTGACTTTGGCAAAAGTTAAAGCCACAAAATTTCCAAACAAAGCGTTTGTTGATGCTGTTGTTGCTCCTACTGCTGCCACCACCACAATGCCCCGGCGCTAAAAGTGACACTTTCAATGGACAAATGCCAAACAAAAATCGCATAATCCGCACGCAAGCGAAACCGTTGAAATGACTAACCGAGAGAGAGAGAGGGAGAGAAAAAAATCAATATTTTTATTTCCTTAAAGAAAAACGTTTTTTTTTTTTTTGTTTGCTGGTTGCACAAACATTTCCTCACCCCCACTTATCACCACTTCCCCTCCTGGCAACCAAAACAATTTACATATCACATGACCAAGTACCAAAACCATTCAACTGAAAAGTGAAAAAGTAAACAAACTTTGGCGTTGAAAATGACTTCCTTTACCTTATTGGGAAGGACAGTAAAAAAAAAAACGAAACAAACCAAATACTAAAGAGGCGAGGGAGGGGTGCGAGGAAAAAAGGTTTTGTTGTGGCGATTTTACCATGTTGGCCAATGTCAGCGGCAATAGCCAACCAGCAGCAGCAACATTGCAATCATGGCAATGGAAATTGAATTGACAAAACAAAGGGTTTCTGTTTTCGTTTGGCAGTTGAGCCCCAATAGGAGAGTGCGAGCCGGAGAAGGGGGAAGAGTTTGCATAGTTATTTGCTGAAATGTTTCCTTGTCCATTGTTTGTCTTAAACGTAAAACATGCGTCGATTTGTCGCTGGCGAATGTCAGCAAATGCGTTGTTGTTTCCCATCAACCACACATCGGAAACAAACGTTTTTTGGTTTCTGGTTAATGGCCGCTACGGGGAGGTAAGACTGGTACCCTAGCTTGTTGTTACAAGTTACAATTCTCGGTTAGAAAATTTAGAAAATATAAAATTCTTCGCAAGGAAATTTAGAGTAATAAAACTTTATCTTTTTAAAAAATAATTTTTGATAATAAAAAACGGAATTTTCAAATAAAAAGTTTTTCATGTTCAGGAAAAAAATACCTTGTTTTATACAGCCAAAAACCTTGTTTTTAATTAGAGAGAATCTTTAAAAACATGAAAGTTTCTTTTATAAAAATGTATTTAAAAAAGGATACTAAAAAAAATCAAATATTTAGATTTTATTATAAACAAGTAAAACAGCTGTAAGTTCGGCCGGCCGAATATTTGAATACCCTCCACCATTTGGAACGAATATGACAATTCTCAAAAACAATAAAATGCGTTAAAAATTCTGTTAAAATCTTAAAAATACCGAATGTAGCTGTTATATTAGGGTCTATACGACGAAAAGGACCTCCATAGGTAACTACGGTGAATAATCTCGCTAAAATTACCAAAATACCGAATATAGGGAGGTACCGTGATATGGACGCTATACGAAACCGTAGACCTAAATAGCCCATTTTCAAAACCAAAAGTCCTGCAGACATAATATACATTCGAGTAAAATGTATATTATGGATAGACGGAAGGACATCGCTAAATCAACATAGAATTTTATGTTGATCAAAAATATATATACATTGTGGGGTCTTAATGTATATTTCGAGGTGTTACAAACGGAATGACAAACTTAATATACCCTCCAAACTTAATATACCTCCATACTATGATGGAGGGTATAAAAATCCCTGGAAGACATATAGACCCAAAAACGAGGGCGTTTTATAAAATGAATA